CATGGAAGACTCAAGAGACGAAAACCAACTTCTGACTGCAGGTGAACTCCATAAAGTCCGCTTGAAGGTAGATGATGTGATGAAAAACATCCCCAAAACTGTAAGTCTGCATCTGAAAAAATTATTTTCTTACAAAGAAAGTAATTCTAGATCCCTCTAGTTCACATGAGGCAGTGGGGATTCCTTTCACAGACACTGTGATTAAGGTAGGCATTACATGATCACCTTTGGGTGAGAACCTTGGCTCTTGCTAGTGAAGGTAAGGCTCCTTTTTTAATTGGCTTTCCATATCCCCATATGTACAAAAAGGATAGGGATATACCTTCTTGATAAATCATCTGAAAATGGACTTGCTACAAAGAGAGCCCATCCTGCTGGCAGTGAAGAGGTCCAATTTGGAGGCTTGACTTGTGAGATCTCGTGGAGAATCTATGGAATACAGTCATGAGTTCGTACCTTTAGTGTGGCTTTCTCTTTATAAAAGTACTTCATGGAATGTGAGACTCACTAGATAAAAGTGAATTTAACAGCTATTTTGTATCCTTTGAGGAACATCAGTGCTGGTTGAAAGAGGGGAAAAAAACCTTTTTGTTGAGTCTGGAATGGACCTGCTTTTATTGAAGGACTCTACAACTGCTTTTGTTGCTATTTCTGCTGATAGCTTTTACCTGACTTGTTTTCAAAATCCTTGTTGAACTTTTTTTTCTGTCTGCAAAAAACCTGCATTTCCTTGGTGAAATTCAAGTTTGGGGTCTGGACAAACGTCCTAAATGATTTTGCAGATGGCTTGTTCTGATGTAGAAGTCCCAGAAATAGGGCATTCTGTAAGGGAAGTCACCTGTTTATTTCCAGGAGGGTAGAAAATTTATTTTAAACAATGCCATTTTCTTTTCAATTATAGACACTTTTGTGGAAAAAAAATTGCAGCAGTCTCTAAGAAAGAGTATGTGATCACAATTAAAGGATGTGCTGTGCTGTATCAGGAGGTAGCATTTAAAACCGGGAAAGCCTGAATATTGGCTATAACTCATTGTAATTATACCATCTATTTCAAACATGTAAATATGTTTGGTAGCACTTACATGTTTATGTCAGCTATTGGGCAAAGACGTTTTTCTTTTTGGTAAACTTCTGATGGTAAGAATTTTGTTCCTTGCATTTGAATAAATAACAAACAAGCTTACAAACCACAAATTTTTGTGTGAACAGAACTTGGTCCCTTCTCTTGTGGTTGTAGGATTTTACATGTGTTTGAGTTATTTATAATAATTCAATGAATAGGTAAAATTAATAAGCAACATACTAATTAAGACATAAATTTCTCCATAGGATAAACCATGACCATGGCAAAGCCAGTGTGATGCAGGAGATTGACCGTGAGGCTGGGAATGGGGTGATTAGGAATCTAATTCTGGCTCTTTCCACCCTAACTGATGTCAGGGGTATTTAGCTCATTTTGAAAGGGCTTTGAGATCTCCAGGTTGAGATCCCTCCAGAAGACCCAGGTGCTTTTCTAAAGTCTAACGCACAAACCCTGCAAAAACCTGAAGGCTGATTTAACCTGGCATTGGAAGCAAAGTTGCATCTCTGCTCAAATTGATGGGAAAACTCCCTTTGCTTCTGGGGATTGGGATCCTTCACCAGGGGAAATCCTTCTGAGCCTATTTCCCGTCTCTTTGACATTTTCTGTCTTATCAAAAGCCAAAGGAGTAAGGAAGAAGGTTAATGACTAAATTGACAAATAAACAATCAGTTCAAAGCAGCAACATGACATTTCCTGGAAAATTTAAGAATCTCCTCTGAAAATCAGTCAGGAATGTAAACGCTGCCACACTCCAACTCAGGGGAGGATATCTGTACAGAGCTCATTGTGTTACGGGGCTGAGGCTGGCTGGGAAATAGGCAGGGTTTTCCATGGAAAATTTTTCTTTAGAAGAAAATTGCAGAAGAGGGAGGAAAATTAATTTGGTCATGATGAACAGAGAATGGCATGGCCACAGAGGTGTCTTAGGTAGAGCCCCTCCTATGGTGTGAGGTACGATCTGTATGATGTCTGGCTCTAGGATGTCAGGTTTGGGGCAGCAAAGCGAAAGAGTCCATGGCTGTCCTCAGCAAAAAGAAATGTTTAAGGAATCCCAGGCCAGGAAACCGCATTCATTTCATGGTGGCATGAGTGTTGAGGGATGGTGACAGGGGGATGATTCCCTCACGCTCAGAGAAAGAGAGTGTGTTTGGCCTTTGTTTCCAAGGGCTCCACTTTGCCACAGTAATGGTGCATTAACAACAGCTTGATTTTCATTTAATAAATAATAGGAATCATGATGTGATGGAGCCAAGATTTTAAACAAGAGGCTCCCATAAAAATTTTCTTCAGGAATCTGTGATAAACCAAAGATAGTGTTAGATGTACTCAGAGGGAGTGGGGAGGCCAGACTTGGAAACTGTCCATCTGCTTCGCCATTGAAACAAAACCACTTTATAATAACCACAGAGGAGAGGAAGCGATGCAGCTTGGCACATACACTTACACTATGTGTGGTGGAAATGTTTATTCTTTATTTCAGAAAGATTTAGTGGGTGTAGAGATAATAGAGCATAGTGCTCACTCGTGTCTTGGGGAAGGAGGGGTGATGGTGTCTGGGTTTTAAGGGAGTCCAGTGTTGGCTCCCATGGGGAGTATTTTCGGTAATACCTATTGCAGTCTCATGCACTTGGAAGGCAGGAAGAGACAGAGGAATGAAATGTGCTTTTCAGGAGAGGTGTTGTAAAGGCCCCAGGATTAGTTATCTCTGACAGGAAGGATTTTACAGCAGACAGCAGAGGCAATCCTGGCCATTTCTGCATTGGCCTCCAAGGCCCCGTGCTGGGATGCTTCCCTTGGAGCTGCTTGGGTCGCTGTGCCCTGCTGTCTCTGAATGCCTTGGGGTTTACTGGGGCTCACCAACCCCTTGTGTGCCACGTATCCCCACACATGCCAGCTCCCCAAAGGGTCTTCTGGCTCCTGTGCTCTCCTGTGTGCTGAGGCATTGCATTGTGACTTGGAAAATGGGCAATGATCTTCTAAACAAGGGTCAGCAGGGTCAGCAGGCCACTAAATCCCATGGTCCCCAATATTCCTGTCATCCATCGTGCTCCCTTCCGCTGTGCACGTTCAACTCTGCTGCACTGCCTCTCCTTGGAGCTGCTCAATATCAAGCCCAAAAGACCCTGACCTCTGGGGGTGGGAGAACCCCTGCCAAGGTTTGAGATAGCAAATGTCTAGACTTGGTGTGTGAGCAAGCAAGTGAAGGCATGACTAAGTGTCTGAAAGTTTGGACCTCTACAGAGGAATCCCTTGGCTCTTTGTTTCTTGGATACAGTTCTACTTCCTGTGGAGCCGTGGAGATAAACGATATTTTTCTCCTTTTTTTTTTTTTTAATCCCTTTTCAAAAAAGTAGAAAATATATAGATACGTCTCGGGTGAGAAAGCAGAAACCCTTGAAAAATTCTGGCAAATCAAGACACACAAAGAATGTGTTGAGTGAAACATTTCAGAGAGACAAAAATCAAAACATCTCACTTTGCCTTCAACCGCTTTAAAACATTTTAATGGTTCGAAAGGAAATTTCAAAACTAAAAGTCGTATTTTGCTTAAAACACTGGAAAGTGTTTCATTAAAAAGGAAGAGTGGAAGCAAAACAATTGCCTTATATATTTTTTCTTTCCAATGAACCAGATGGGTCTTTCCACAAATGGTGCTGAGGTCAAGGACCCAGGGCTAGGCACATCTTTCCTTGTGTCACAAGGGGCCTGGAGCTGGTATCCTGAGAAAGGGACAATCTGATGAATCCGTTTGCCAGGCAAGAAATTATTCTATCACCGTAACAGTTTTATTTATTCTTTTTGTATACAAAGTTGCAGGCCAGCTCAGTCCCAGGGCTATCTATGCCTGTTGACATACCGAGGTCTTTGTGGCCACAGGACAGTCTCAGATCCCAGGGAAGGCAGAAAGGGGTGTGGAAGTCTGTTCTTTCCAGAGTGCCGTGGCATGTAGGTTGGAATAGTGGTCTTGGTGGCCTTGGGACCTCTGCCAGGTATTCCTGCACTGTATGGGCAGGGGAGGGACCATCAGGTGTGGGATGTGGCACCCCTCGCTTGTGTGATGTGCTTGGGGAAGTTCCGCGTGGGTCAGGGAAGAGGAATGAGAGAACCACAGAATCAGTCAAGTTAGAAGGGACCACAGTGGGTCTGGTCCAAGATTTAGTGAGATAAACAGCACCATGAGGAGACACTGGTGGCTGAGGTGAGAGGGAAGGATCTCCCTGGTGGCCACAGCAGAGGGGGGGGACCCTGATCCTTCCTGGGAGAGATCGGGACAGCGTCGGGAGTTAGAACCAGCTGGATGGCTGGGGGGCAGTGGGGAGGCACAGAGGCTGTCCAGGGGGCATCAGAGGGCCGAGGGCATGGGGAAGGCTGATGGGATGGGGAAAGGCAGGTTAAGGGGAGGTCGGGAAGGTTGAGAGGAGATGGGGAATGCTGAGGGGAGGCGGGATGGCTGGAGGAAGGGAGGTGAGGGGCTGAGGGGAGATGAGGAAGGCTGGCTGAGGGGAGGTGGGGGACTGAGAGGAGCCTTAGGAGCAGCCGGGGGGCCGCGGTGAGCCCCAGGGGCGGCGGGCAGGCTGAGGCACCGTTCTGACCGGCGGCGACCGCGGGCCGGGGCCCGAGCAGGGGCTGAGCTGCGCATGGCGACCAGCGGAGGCCCCACATCCCCAGCCCGGGCCGCCCCTTCCCCCCGCGGCGCGCAGCTCTCTCGGGCTCGGTCGCTTTAAGGCGCGGGCGGGGCGCGGCCCCGTCCCACCTCTGAACCCGGAGATTGACGGGCGGGCGCGCAGGGGGCGGTGCGGCCCGCGGGCCGTCCCTCCCGCCGCCGCCGCCGCCAATGGGGCCGGGGGGGCGGGCGGCGCCGCTGCCCCTTCCTCCCCCCGCCCCCGGGCTCCTCCGTGCCAGTTTGAGGAGTCCGGAGCCGAACAAAAGCAGGCGGCGAGGGCCGGAGCGGTGCGCGCAGGCCCGGCGTAGGGGGGGCCCAGCCAGCCCCGAGCGCGGCCCCAGGGTGGGGGAAAGTTTGGAGCCCTCCCCCGGTTGCGCGGGGGCTTCGCCGCGCTCCGGCCGCGGCAGCTCCGGAGCTGCCATCGCGGGCGGCCGCCCCGCCGCGGCCACCGCTGCTGCCACCGCCGCCTCCTCCTCCCCCTCCCGGGCGCAGCCCCTGCCCCCGGCCCGCCCGTTGCCTCCCCGGCGCGGGGCTGAGCTGCCCTGCTTTTGGAGTCGCCGCCGTTTTCCCCTCCTTTCCCCGGAACCCCCTCCCTCCCTCCTCCTTCCCTCCCTCCCTCCCTCCTCCTCCTCCTCCTCCTCCTCCAGCAGCCAAAGGGATTTTTTTTCCCTTTCTTTTTTCTCTTTTTTTTTTTTTTTTTTTCTCTCCCCCCTCCTTCATTTTTTTCTCCTCCTCCTCTTCCTCCTCGCCGCGGAGCCGAGCGCCAGCGTGAAGGATAAATAAAAAGCGAAGAGGAAGAGGCTGGGGAGGAGGAGGAGGAGGAGGAAGGGGGGGAGGAAAGAAGAAAAAGAAAGCGAGCAAGAAAAGAAAGCGAGGAGCCAGGCGGCCAGCCCAGCCGCGCCGCTCCCGGCAGCCAGGGCAGGAGGCGGTGGCGGAGTGGGGCCGGCGGCCGGCGATGGATGACCAGCCGCGGCTGATGCACACGCACAGCGGGGTGGGGATGCCGGGGCACCCGGGCCTGTCCCAGCACATGCAGGATGGACCAGGCGGGGCGGAGGGGGAGGCAGGCAGGAAGCAGGACATCGGAGACATCTTACAGCAGATCATGACCATCACGGACCAGAGTTTGGACGAGGCGCAGGCCAGGTGAGAGCGGTGGGGAGCGCGGGGGGGGCAGGTGCCGGGAAGTTTCCCCCGCGCCCCGGCCCGGCCTTTGTTGTGCGGTGGGGGTAGCGCGCCCGGCCGCGGGGCTCACTGGGGGATCGGGGTCCTGCTTCTCCTGCCGCTGAGAAATAGGGAGAGGGAGGCGAAAGGAATGGTTAATATCCCTCCTTTTTATTTCCAATTTCCACCCCCAACTTCGTTGGGGTATCGAGAGGTCGCAAGTGCCTGCAGCCCCCCTCTTCTTCCTCCATCCCAAACTGGGCCTGGCTTTTCCCAGCCTATTTGGGCTGGGGAATAATTGCGGAGGGCGATGGTGGTTGGGGCAGGCTGGGCGTGCGAGGGGCTCCGCGCCGGGCTCCTCCGAAGGAGCCACGAAGTGCTGCCCCGCTTTCAGGGCCGCTAATGATGTTCTTTCCCAGGGCCCTGTAGTGGTGTTATTTTTAAGGCCGTGTTTCTGCGCTTGGAAGATGCTCCTAGACGCTTCGCCTTTTTTATTTTTTTTTTCTTCTTAATTGCAGATGTATTTAAGAAGGAAAAATAAGGCTGTAAAAGCCGGTATCTGAACTGCCCTGAGCTTCGGGAAGTGCAAACATAATACGCACCTTCTAAAGCTCTACCAGAAGTTAAGGGGGGGGGGAATTCCCAAATGAAGGAATTAAAACAAAAAAGTTGCCCCGAATCGCCTGGGGTATGCTTGAAATCTCTTCTGGGCTCCAGAGCTGCTCGTTGCGGTGCCCTTCCCCCGGTATTCATGCCCCGAGCTGGAGCAGATTGCTAGAATACATTGTTCCTGGAAAAACGTTCCTCACAGCCCCAAAACTTGCTTAGGAAGAACTTCCAGAATGGTAAAAGTACCCCCGAAACCTCAGCTTCCATCTTCCCCACCTCCACAGCTTTTGTAAAGCTCCCGCTTACTAAAAAGGCTTGTTGCAGGGCTGATCTTATTTTCTTATGTTCTTGCAGGGGCAGAGTAGCTGTGAGGAGGAGGAAATCATTCACTTTCTCCTCGGCCAGAGCCAGGGCAGTGAGGGGATCTTCCTTTGGAAAGTTGCAGGAATCATGTGTGTTCCTGCCTGGATAATTTAGTGTAGTTAATCAAATCAATAAAACCGAAGCAGAACAGAGCTAGGAGAAGGCTTTATGGGGTTGCCTTGCTGGTCTATTTCAGCTGCTTCCTCAGTACTTTTTTTAAAAACATACTTTTATATCTGAGCTGACAAAAATGCTGTATTTATCAATAACCTTTGGCTTTGCATTTCCTCCTTCCATCTTACTATTGCAGGGTTATTTTGCTGCCTCTTTTTTTTTTTTTTAAATGAAGTTTTGGGAAGATGCAAAGTGCCAGTATTATTTGTAAGAGGGCCCCTACAGCATATGTACGTGATTTGTGTATGCCCAAATGTTTGTGCCCATCTGGGTCTGCTGATAAGGCAACACTGTGGTTCTGCAAGGGTATATACCTTTGAGAGACTTCATCAGATATATAAATCTTTTTAACATGTTGTCGGTGGTGGGGTAAGTAGTGTGAATGTTTGCCAGATGTTCACATCGTCTTTCGCGTGTAATTTCGGTTGGTAAACAGAAATCCCGTAACCAGTGCCTGATAGCAATAGCTCTTTATACAACTGAACCCTTTTATAAAGGACTGTATGGCTTGAGAGAAAAAATTAAGTGATATTTTTCTTTGCCTCAGTGGGTGCTTGGTGGGTTTTAAAACCACCCTCACTCCCCCCAAAAGTCTCTCCTCAAAACCCACAGGAGAACGGTCAGCTCTGAAATAACAGCAGTGGGAAAGAGCGGCATTGAATAGCATTCCCTCCCCTTCCCAGAAGCAGCTGGCTGTGATTTTTAATGTGTTTACTGTCCCAATTGTAAAGAATTAAATTTTAACACCTGCATGTAAGCTGGATGTAAGTGGCATGGAGGTAGAGGAGCGGGTTTCTCGTTCCATATGTGTGTGCTTCTATGCTTCAAGTTGGGCACTGAAATCCCCTGAAATGATGGCTCTAAGCAGAGGATGTTTCCAGTGCTGGGGCAAGGGGGCTTTATTTTCCCTCTGCCTCACACAACGAGCCTAATAAAGCACATGGCCGGGTGTAATATCCGAGGTGGGGGACGGAGTGCTCTCCGTATTGAATAAGACAGTTGATCCCAGCTTGGCTCCCAAAAGATTCTGGCTTCGGTGTGGAGATCGCCTGGCTCCCGCTGGCTATGGGAGCTGCTCTGGTGGTAAAGGCAATTTTCAAGCCATTCCTAAATTAGTGTAATTCATCTCCCTTGTGTTGGGTAGGTGGCTGTTTGCAGCATTGGGGCTGAGGGGGCTCAGACCTGTCCCCCCCTGCCTCTGGCACACACACGCCAACCGCCTTGAATTTGGAAAGTTGTTCCTCATGGTGACATCCTAACCTCACCCTCCTCTCTTTTCTTTTCTCCCCAGGAAACATGCTTTAAACTGCCACAGGATGAAGCCAGCGCTTTTTAATGTCTTGTGTGAAATCAAAGAAAAAACAGGTAGGAAATCAATGCTGTTGGTTTTGTATTATTTTTCTTTTTGCTCTTTGAGGGTTTTATTTCACCAAGTTTGTTACCCCCCCCACATGCAGGAGATTTTAAGTGGGGAGAAATAACTCATCAATCTTTAATGCTTCGGGCAGTGGACTTGCATGATGCGGTTTGTGTCTGGAAGGGAAAATACCGTGGTTTAATTTCTATTGTATAGCCTTTCTTTATTTATTGCTTTTTCTGTGGAGAAGAAAAAAATCAACCCCATTGCAATTTCTGTCTTGCTCTGGTTTCTTCATTAGGACATGGCACTGTTTAAAAAAACAAAACCTGGATGAAGAGAGTATGTGGGGGAAATAATCCTAACAAAATGAAATTGTGCAGTTCTGTTACCATTAGTATTCACGTAAACACAAAGGTTTTTTTTTAGAGAAAGGGTTAAAATGCTCTTGTCTGCCAATCATCCAGGCTAACTCATGTAAGAGCAAGTTGTCAGTTGCCTTTAGTGAAAGCAATATATTAGATTGTTAGTTACTTTAGGGTACTGTTGTTTTATGGCATGGGGTGTTTTCAGGCTTCTTTAGAAGCTAATGGCATGAGAGCGTTGGTTCTGCTGTTTCCCACTTTCCAGACCTCCTACCATGTACTAACACACTTATAACACATCCCAGGGGGGCATTTAAATTTTAAAAGCAACAATTAAAAAATAGCAGTCATCAATCAAGGGTGATCTTAAACAACAGATGCTCAGGGAAGGACACTTAGCAACATGCACCACTTATTTATGTATTTGGTGAAATCTCTCTTTTTTTCTTGAATAGAAAAAAAAAAGTGGGGGGAATGATGGAAATTTTGGAGGGGGGGAGTTGTTCATCTCTGCTCTTGGTTTTCTGAGCTGACCAGAGTTGATCCGTGGACCTTTCCCTGCCGATCTATCTGTCTTGTTTTAGCACGCTGCAAAGTACTTGACTTCTCCCCCCCGTCCCCCCCTTTACAACAAGGACTGAAACAGTCAATAATTCATATCTAAGCCATATAAGCAAGGGCATGACATGAATGAAAGTGACAATAAATATGATTGCACACCCAGTTGATATACATTGATAGTTACACATAAAAGGGGAACAGCTTTCTGAAACCTGAACTGGGTTGTTTTTTTTTTTTTCCTTTCTTAAATATATATATAAAACCTCCTAGCATGAGCAGCTGATTGAAAATACAATTACTTGACTCTTGCAATATATATAAAATGACTAAGGGGGGTCCTTTGTTAAGTGTTGTTTGTGCAGTGTGTAGCCCAGACAAAGCACCTACCGATGGTATTCGGCTCTCCGAAGTCCTCACAGCTGCAGGACCGGCTCTGACCTTCCCAAGGAGTCCTTCCTTACAGAGTTCCTGTAATATCAAGCAGTGGGTTTGGTATGGGAACCTCTGAACAGTTCATGTGCTGTAACACAGGGCAGTCTGTCTAGAAATAGATTTTATGGGTTTTATAGTGTTCCCCTATGTGCCTCCACAAAAAAAGGAGCCACCAAGTTCCTTTCCCTCTTCCTCCTTTTATTTTGTGTGAGTCAAAGGACGTTTTGTCTGTCTTTTCTCCATGTGTATTTGATACTGTGTACGTTACCTGTGCAGGGACACTTTTTGTTGGGGGAGCTGTTTAATCCCAGTTTGGCATTGCTATCACTGCAGTCTCAAAGTTAGGGGATGGGGAATCTGTTGGGACTAAACTTGCTGGGAAAATCCATGTGACTTCAGGGATGAGGTAAGGTCCCGGTGAGCTGGCGAGGGATGAGGAGCTGTACATACCCACAGTAACTAGATGGGATAATTCATGACTGCTAAGGAAAATGGAAAGAGATGCTGGAAATCAGGAAATTCAGGTGTGAACTGGGACAGTCTTACTTTTTTTTTTTTTTTTAAATGCTATTTGTTGCTGTTGTGCCTCAGTTATCTGTATACTGGGCTGTGCTGTGGAGGTCTCCGAAGAGGCTGACTCGGTATTGCTTTTGAAGTGTTGTTTATCTACCCTCAGATATGTTTACAGTGAATTCCTTCACTTTGCAAATTCAAAGACCTCCTCCCCTCTCCCCCCATCTGCATCCCCAAAAGTCACACTTTGTAAGGAAGCAAACGACCAGATGGTTTTGATTTATTTTTATTATTTTTTTTTTTAATTACTGCTTTGTGGGCCCAATGCTAGGAGGAAGTTTGCCAGTGTTTTTTCTGGGGCCAAGGGTACCACCGGATTCTGTTTGCTTACCCCTTCCTTGTGGGCAGCGGCATGAAAGTTGAGCCAACTTCTCGCTTCCCACTTTCCATTTAGCCTTCCAGAGTTTTGCATGTGCCGCGTCTGAAATCCTGCTGATTCTTTGTAGTCATTGGTGGGTGTTTGAATGTGCGTGTGTACATCTTCCCCCCGGCGTTATGATGTGCAGAAATGTGCGTTCAGTTACCCTGCTGCCTGATTTAAGCGACTCCAGAGCCTTACGGAGACTTTACCATCATCTCTTGCAACATTATGGCTAATATTTCATAGTGTTAACCTTGTCTTGAGAAACCCAAAGTGTCCATAAAGTTCTGGGAAAAAGAGATCGTCTGTATTGGCCGAAGAGTTCCCTTTTGCATTTGGGCTCCTCAGGTATTTTAAAGCATTTACAAACACTTAAAAAAAAATAATAATGATTAGGAAAAAAAAAAAAAAGCTCAGTAGGTTGTCTTTTGTCTGCAGCCTGCAGATTGCTGCTTTTGTGGTGATATCTGTTTAAAAGTATTGAAAGTTGAGAGGTTTGATCCAAGCAGGAGTTACATGGGGGCAAAAAAATTGCCACTTAAATATACATTGAAGTTGTCGTCGTTCATTTGGTGCATTTTCACTTGCTGTTGGTCGCTTTGTTGCGAGGGAAGGGGCAGGACTGCCTTCAAATGGCTGGCTGGCTTTTTGGAATAGTAATTATGGAAATGGGAGGCATTGTTGTCCTAAATACAATTGATTCCTCCATCAATAGGGATTGCAATCGGAAATTGCATTGCTGATTTATAAAAAGTTTGAAGGCAGGAGTAGAGGCTCTGTCTTTATGGCTTCCCCCCCCTTGTTTTTTTCTCTCCCTTGGTATGTGGTTTTTTTATTTTTTGTTTTTTTTTTTTTTTAAGCTGGTCTCTGCATGAGGAGAATAGCTAAGCAGAAGAATCAAGCAAGGCATACGCAGACGTGGGGTCCTTGGATGGCAAACTGGAAAATATCTGCTGTCAAAATGCAGCAGCATCTATTTCAGCTGTGAGCCTTTCTCAACTCCCATCTCTTTCGGCAGGGACCGGCTGGGAGAGGCTGAGCACAGGATATATGACCATTTAATCTGATTCCTCCTCCTTAAGAGCTTTTCCCATCGTTTCACTTTCTCTGCTCATTTGGGGGAGGTGAGGGCATCGGGCAAATTCTACTTCTTAAAAAGACCCTGACTTTCTATTTGAAATCACACGATTTTTGTTTTCTTACCCTCCTCACCCTTCTGTGTTGAAGGAATTCAGGATTAAAAGAAAAATGTACATATCATCAGTGGAGGGGGAGGATTTACGAAGTGGAGTATTTATAGACAGCACTGATTAGCTGTGCAATTGTTGTTGAATAATGGTTTTGTTGTTTCTCTTTTTTTTTTTTTTAATTTTAGAACATAAGCTCTATAAGGTGCCTCTTAGCTACCTTTCCTTATGTATTATCTTCACCAAACTTAACTCAAATCAGATCTTTGGAGGAGGTAGGATTTTTCCCTTTCTTTTCTTCCTTAACACCCCTTTGTTCTCTCCAGCTCTGTGTTCAATTAACACCCCCATCGCAGAACTGTAGTGTTTTTTTTTTTTTTTTAATGTCTGTTACTGTATTTCACTTCTGACACCTCTCTTATTATTCTTGCTTGCTACTTCTCTTTAATATAGCAATTACGATACGGGCTTTCTTTTTCTTCCTCCCTCCCTCCCTTCTCTTCCCCACCCCCAGCCAATATCCCACCACGGGCAGAAGAGCGACAGACATGGTGTGTGCAGCGCTGGTGGTTTTGGGGTGTGGGGCAGAGCAGTAAGCACGGTACACTGGCGAGCCCAGCACCCCTTGGCTGAAGTGTTTCTCAGGGCAGGATGGGGCAGCTTGCTTTCCTTCTCCCCTGCCCAGCCCTTCTCCAGGGTATCAAAGCCTGCCCTCCTTATTCTGTGTTTCCACCAAGGAGGTTTCCCAAGGCACCGGAGAGAGTTCAACACCCTGATTTGAATTTCAGTGCAATTCTTGCACCTAAGGCATCATCCTGATTCTGCAAAAGCTCATCATGAAAGTGCTCATGCTCCAGCCCCACAGGATTGGGGTCCCCTGCTCAGCTTTTGGCAGGTGCAGCCCTTGCCTGGCTACTCTCCCTCCTGCTCTTCAAAGGGGAGGAAGCCTTTGCTTTGATATTGTTATTACTATCTTTTTTTCCTCTTCTAGTTGAAAGGCTTTGAAGGCAAAAGTGATGCTTCTCTCTCCCAGCCAGGCAGGGTCTGCAGGGTCCCTGGTATGGCTACCTTGGGGAGAAAGTGAAACATTTTGGGAGAGCAGGGCCTCCAGCTGACCCACACTACATGAGGAAACCTCTCTGTAGTTCACAATTAAATTGCTTCCAGAAAGCTGATGTCTTCAGAGGAAAGGAGGGGAGGGAATGTGCGAGGGGCTGGAAGATAGGGATGTTTTGGGAGACCTTGGCTTGGTGGAGGGCTGAATTATTGCAAGAAGAGCAGCTGCCTTTGGGACTGGCTGGGAGAGGATGGAAACCAGTCATCCTGATGGAAAGGGGACCATGTCCCACCCAGTAGGTCCTGGTGGCTGAAAGGTGCAGGGTCATCAGGGCTGGACCTGTCACTGCAGGGAGTCCTTTTTCTGTGTTTTCTTCTTCCAGTGTGGTGTTGTCCATCAGGGATCTACTGGTGATGGATGGCTTTGGAGGAGTGTGCTTGCAGGGATACTTTTTTTCTTTATAATTTCATAT